GGAGGAAAGTTCCCGGGACGGGGCCGGCGCGGAGCTGCCCCCCGTCAGGAAATCTTCACCCACTGTAGTCCTGTGATGTGTGTGCAAGGGACTGAACTATAGTTAAGAAGCCTTTAAGAAAAATATTTAATCTTAGCCATCATGCTTCTACTGTTCAAACTTCATTGTGAGGTGGCTTCTTTCTGTGTAGATGTGTCAAAACTGAGGCATTGAGATGACCATGGTTATTCAGGAGGAGTTAGTGTAAAAACTCACTGGTTGAGCAATGCTTTATCCCTTCTGTTAGCCTTACTTTGCAGTGGCTGCTCATGTAAGCTTTGTGAAAAAGCCTTATAAAATGTATATACAAGTCCCGTTGCACTTTTTTGGTCTCAGAGGTGATAGCTGCCTGTGCAGTATTGTATGTCAAAGCCTGCTCAGTAATTGAGTGACTGATGGCAGTGCAAGCAGTGTCTGAAGGGAATGTATATCATAATCTATTTTCATGGTGTCTTGGGCTCTGTTTCTCCTGGGGCAAACTCTGCCTGTAAATCTTTTTTTTTTTCATCATCCTTTGTGTGTTTGTTTGTTTTTTTTTTTTTTTTTTTCCAGTTCTCATGTCTGTAAAAGCAGCTTTAACTTGTTCATTGCTGAGCAGCAGGAGCAGGGGATTCTGCTGCAAAGTCTTGTTTACTTACTTCTTTGGGCTTGTCGTTAAAGTAATGGGTAGAACTTCACCCCGGAGTGGAAAGGATGTTGTGTGCTTAAATGCTGAACTTAGTCCTGGCTATCTGTAGAGTATGTGGCCTTGAAGGTGTCATCACTTCTTGCATCTCCCTATCAATGACCGTTACTCTGTGTAACATTGAGGTGCAGTGGGTTAATCATGGTCCAGGTTATAAAGATTGTTATGTCTGTGTTGGTGTAGCTGAGGAGACACATCAGTAGCCTGTGGGGCTCCATTTCCTCAAGTAGCATGAATTCAGGTTGCCATAACATGTAACAACTCAGCACCGACAATTCTTGATCTGCTTGTCCTTGTTCTGCAGTAGTACCTGAAGTGATTGTTCATGTCTGCTTCCCTTGATTCTTTGCTGCCTGAGTTATTTTTAGAGTTAAGATAAACTAAGAAATGTGAAGAAGGCTATTTTTGCATCTTGTGTGTGTATTAAAAAAAAAAAAAAAAGGCGATATACTCTATGAATATAAAACCCTCTCTGTGTAGCTGTAAACTGAAAGAAGCAATTAAAGTGAGGGGTGTTTCCTGCTGGATCACAAGTTCCTCCCTTCAGTGCCTGAAGGCTGTCATTTCCATGAGTAGTAATGAAAATAATTACTCTGTATTGACATTTACATGTTACAGTGGAGGTAGTGACCGATATACGGGAAAGTCAATATTTGAGAATATTTTCGAGGTTTATTTAAACTTATTTTTTTCTTTCTGTTACGACACAATCATTCTCTCTCTTGAGGTCTCTCCACAGGTTTGAAGCATACTCTACAGCTGTTTAATTTTATATTTGAAAATCTGGAAAAATATATTTGGTGTTTGTGAACTGATGACAGCCTTCATAGCTCCGTGTTAGGGTTTTCTGGAGTCTGGTGACTTGATGGGATTCTGCATGTGACTGTTGCTTTTGTCTCGGGCATATTTTTCCCTCTCCAACTAATCTTTCTCCATTTTATCCAAGTTTTCTTATTTACAAGGTAAGAGAGGTGAGATGATTCCAAAGATCAGGTGAAGGCAAGAGCTGCTAAGGGAAGGAGACTGCAAAAACTTTTCATGCCAGCAGCACCTGCTTTTGTGATACAGATGATTCTAGGCAGACAGAAGGAACAAGAAGATTTACTTAAACATGCTGAGCTGCAGTAAAACCTTAGAATACTTTTTAAATACAGTAAAAGCAAGTTGATTTTCTGTCTTTAACAAAAAACAAAGCACAAAAAAAACCCCAAAGAAACAAAAAACCTCCAAAACCATTCTTTGCTACTACTGAAGGTGTACTAGATATCATGGTACTTCAAGCAGACTTTTCCTTCCCCTTTTTTAATTGTACCCTCAATTGTGGGAGTTACTTGAATTCTTAAATAACATCTCTGTTTTTCACAGTAGGTAGACCAAAAACCAGTTTGTCTCTTTCTCCAGGAATTAAGCAACTGTGCCACTGGCTTTCAGGTTAAACTTTCTATTGCCCACTCATGTTTTTAGCATGCACGGTTCAAAGTGCCACTGTTATCTGAGGGAATGTACGTATCTGTGCTGGCAGAAGAGTCAGAGTTTGAATGTAAATGTTTTGTTACTAATTTAATCTTTTCAATTACATTCCCCATAAGAGATTGCCTGGTGAGAGGCTATTGGAGGAGTGTGAGCATGTGTTTTGTGGAATAGCTGCTCCGTTGGCTCTTGAATCAGGCCTGATGCTGTTTTTCTAGTCTTTGCAACTGGTACAGCTATTGAGAGGACTAGGGGTGGTTGGACAGCATATTGATGTGGAGTTGAGGCCAAAGTGACAGGAAGAGAGGGAGTGAGAGCAGAAGTCACGTTCTTAGGTTTGCTGGTAGGAGTTTTTCACCTGTCGAGCAAGAGCATGGGCAGAAAATAGGAAGATCAGAATTGTGTCACTTAGCAGCATGGGAGCTGCCTTACCGGACCAGACTGTCAAGCTGCCTAATCTGATAAAGCAGCCACAAACAGGTTATAGGCTTTACAAAAACTTGCAAGAACCTGCTCATGATTCATACTTGTCTTACACAAGCCTTTATATTGCAGTCTTTCTTCGTAATTTTTATCCTGTTTGCATGGAGTTACCTCTGGCATTGCAGTCTCTCTCAGACTTCTGAGCAGGTATTTTAGAACTCAGCAGTGCAACTGAGCTGTGAGGCAGACAGTTTCCTTCAGCAGTGGTTCCCATTTGTATAGTATTGGTGGCTTTTTTTTTTTTTTTTTTAGTGCTTCTGTGTTCTCTTGTGATTTTAAATAACCAGAAGCAGCGCAGTCATTTGAAGCAATTAATGTCATCTGCCAAGTTCGACGTTTTGCTGTACGGCTACTTTTCAAGCTCTACACAATGATGGGGGAAAGTGTTCTCCCAGTGATTGAAACTCGACTTGCTTGCAGGCCTGGTTTGCTGGCACTGGAAGTAAAAGTACATCCAAAGGTGCCCCCTAGAGTCGAAAAGGTTGTTTGGGAATTTGTTCGGGTTTTGTTGCTTAGATTGTTCCAATTTCTTAAGCGTTTGAAACTAAAAATACTTTCCAGTACAGCTGAGTTTGCAAATACTAAGAGCTGATGGAGTGCTTTGCTTTCAGGTGGTTAGTCTTAACATTCCAACATAGTCAATTTCTAATTCTTTCAGAATTTTTCAGAAATCTGCCTTGTTTTGTAATCTCACTAAAGCCTCTATCCACTTTTGCCAAAGTGTGGCTAATATGAGGGTTTTGTAAAACCAGTCAAGGCTGTCTGACTGGTTTCAGATTGAGAAAGTGGTTCTTCATTAACCTCCTCTTCATTTATACTTAGACTTACTGGTTTGTTGGTTTTTTTTTTGTGTATTAACAACTCATTGAACCCTGATGGAGCTTTATTAGCTGACCTTGAGTTATCAAAGCCTTTATGAAAATACCAATATTTGATAGCTTTCTTTTGTTTCTTTATAAGATCATTTGTTGCTTTATAATATTGAGACAGAGGATAGGCATAGGGGAAGGTTTGTTCTGTGTTTTCCATGTGGTGATAAAAGGCTCGCAGGTCAGTAAGTAATAGAATGATTTCCGTTTGGGGTTTTTGGGGTTTGTTTTGATTTTTTTGTTTTCCTTCTCGAATAGAGATTATATGTTCCCATAGTGCTGTAGCTGACATTTAGACATTACCTGCTTTTGTTATGGTTTTGCTCCTTGCCTTAGCTTACCCTGAAAGCTGTAATTGGGAGGGCAAGTTCTCTGTTTTTATACTGTTGGTGTAAATTCAACCATGTACTGGAACCTGGAGATTACAGCCTCCTCTAGACAGTTGAAGAGTTCTTACAACTTCAAATACTCATATCAAACTCTGCAAGAAAAAACATATCAGCTTGAAAAATAAGTTCTGAACTTGTCATTGGTTTTTAAAAAATAAATACTACTCATCAGAGTTTCTAAGCATACATACACTTTTATCATTTTTGTTTCTTAGATGAGTAAAAGGTACTGTTTTACAGAAGTAGCTGAATTTCTTTTAATGGGGTAATTGTTTGAAATCTGTTAGGTGGCATATTGTGTCCAAATCTTTGTTTTGGCCAAAACATACTAGTAAACTGAAATTAATTAAGGCTGAAAAACATTTTTCAAGTACTTTAAATATCCTTATTGAGTATTTGCAGCAGGAACATGGCATGAAGGAGCCTGAAATACAGCTGAACTGAAGGGGCAGACTGGCTTCTTTTATTCATGTTAAGAAGCAGCAAATGGCATAAAAGAAAACCAGTTTAAGATGAGCAGTTACTTATTTTTTTTTAACAGACTTCTGCTGTGATCCTGGTATGTGGGTCACTTGCCAGTGCTGAATTCAGTTGGAGACTGGTGTTGTGAAATGGGAACTGCTGGATTACACCTAATGCTGTTTATATTCCTAATTGTTTCAAAACAAAAAAAATTAAACTGTCTGATAATTAGGTATGTGGGATAATAGCTTGCACAATAGTTTCTAGTACTTTGTTGATTCAAAAGGGTTTATTTTGGTTATTTGCTGTTTGTTTAGACCCTTTCAAAAGGTTAGCAAGAGTGAACTGTTCTCCTGGAGCTGTTTGTATATGGTGATTTTAAGACTGGTGGAATATAAATACTAAAACTAGAGGTTGTCATTGATGAAAGGATGTATAAATATCATACGAGTTAAAATGCTGTCAGCACGCTTTATAAACCCCATTCTCTCTTAGGGTGAAGGAACAATAGTAACTGTTGTTCGTGAAATAATTCTTCTTTGCATCACTGTAATAATATGCTGCATGGCTCTTTGTTTGTTTTAGTCTAATGGGGGGAAAGAGTTGCTGAGTCAAAATGCTATGCACCAAGCAGGAAGTTTGCACCAAAAGCAACTGCTTCCTCTTGCCTGTTAGGAATAACAGCTCTTAACCTTTTTTTTCCAGTTTTATGAGGGTTTTATGTAATATACTTTTTTCTTTTTTTTTTTCCAAAAGGCTATATGCACTGGCATGCTGACTTCTGTATCAAGTGATCAGTTTTTTTATTTCACATCCCTAAGAAAAAGACACACATCCTTTTGAGTATTTCTTTAGGGAAGAAGAAATACAGAGAATAACGAAGGTCCCATGCATTAATCATTCATATGTGGCTATCAATATACTGTTCTGGTGAACAGTCAGCTTTCTCCAAATTTACATGGCGAGGGATTAGGCATCCATTTCATATGGGTGCTATGCATCTGCTCTTCACAAATATACTGAAGCCCCACAAGAATAAAGTACAACAAGCTAATTTATTGTTGCCTGGTACCGTAGCTGAAGTGGGTGGTGCTACTGTGTCCCATGCCCTGGTTAAATAGTGACCTCGGGAATAAGAAGGGCATCTGTTGACCTGGGACCTCTTGTTCCTTAGAGGTGGGGCTCTGTGGATTGGGGGGACAGAGGAAATTCATCTGGCTGGATAGGGACAGGGCAATGCAGTGCTGTCATCTTATTGTTGAGAGATTGAAAGCCTTTCTCTGCCTGCTGAGAGGTAATACTTCTTCATTGGCCTCACCTGGGCAGTACCAATTTTCAGATGCGGTTTTTAAAGTGTAAGATTCCATCATGTAGCTATATGTATTTGTGGTGTTCTCCCTCATTGTTCTTTCATATGCACATGCCTGCCTAAAAGAGCTTAATCCTTGATCACTGACGTGCACAGAACCAGATCGTTTTTCCCTCATTCTTTCCCCCAAAATCCATCCTAACATTTTTTTTAATGTGGGAAATTTTAGCTGCAAGGTACCCTTTGAGAAGGTTGCACAGCAAATAAAACATAAACTGTGACTTGCACACCTACTCTGAAAACAAAGGTACTTATTTAATTCCTGTAGTGACATCCAGGCATGTGAAAGGAATACAAATGGGTCTTTGTATTCCTCGCGCTGCTAGTCTGTGCTCCTTTGTAGTATGGGGGCGACCGATGAGAAATCTGCGTGGTGCGTTATGCTTGCTCACAAATTGACTAGTATAGCCTGATGAGAAGGTGCTGTGGATGACGAGAGCCTAATTGCTGTCCCTGCATCAGCAGCATCGAGGAAGCATCCTGGGAATTGCTTGCCCTACGCTCGGAGCGGCTGATCACATGAGCCTGAATTTTCAGTTCAGTTCATTAGTCAGCCATTTTGGTCAACACCCTGCTTACTGCGCACAACCAATCCTATCAGCACTCGCTGTCCTGGCTTATCTGGGAAGAAAGGGACCAGCAGTTTGATTTCATCAAACCTGGATATCTGTCTCTACATTCTTCCTTTGTTTTTGCTTGGGTAATCATCAGGGGAAGCCATTCTTTTTCCTTCTTCTGCTTTTTAATTTTTTTAATTTTTTTTTTTTACATTTTTCTCCTCCTGGCTTTGATGCAGAAGCCAGGTTTTCTGTGGTTGTTTAGGATCAATAGCCTCTAGCATAGCTGAAGACGACGACAGTGGAAAGGAGGGAGGAAGAGAGAAGCGTGAAGGAGCAGCGTTTTTACCTTGCTTTATATATGAAAAGGCCAGAGCAGTCTGTGCGATCCTGATCATATCTGTCCTTTAATAGCAAGGTATTTCTTATTTTCTTCTTCAGCAAGCTTTTCTTTCTAGTTCTTATTTTTTTCCCCCTCGTTGTTGTTGTACCAGCTGAGTCATCATGTCTGCTCTGACGCCTCAAAGCGACATGCCAACCCCCACCACAGACAAGATCACTCAGGCTGCCATGGAGACCATCTATCTTTGCAAATTCCGAGTGTCGATGGATGGAGAATGGCTCTGCTTGCGTGAGCTGGACGACATCTCGCTGACACCCGACCCAGAGCCTACCCATGAAGGTACGGTCCAGTTCCCTGCCTCGGGATCCCTGCAGCCATCCCATTGTTACGGCCGCTGCACGAGTTGGGAGGGGGTGTCTCCAGGACGAGATGGTCTTGTACTGCCTGGAGAACTGGGACACCCTTTGTCATACTAGAAAGCCAAATCGGTGCTTCAGATTGCCCTTAGAATTTGTTGTGACTTTTGTAATCCACCCCTTTAAGAGAGACGGATTTGTGCTTGTTATTATTTTTATTCCAAACCTGGAATGATCAGGTTTGTCTGTCTTGGGAAGGAAGGTAACCATGATGTGTGCCCAGCAATACATTTATCATGATTTTACTCTTAAAACAGGGCTTATAGCTCTGTTAGTCAGCTGTCAGCTTTTACAAATGGAGCATACTGGCAAAACACAGACGTGTGTCTGCATATGGTCAGTGGGTAGTTTTTGGAAAGCCCCAAGTGATTACGCAGTTATGCCTATTGTCGGGTGATAACAACACCATCACAAGTCTTCCAGCTCACTTCTGTTGAGTGTGCTGATGTTTATAAGGACTTGGAAGCCTGAAAAGTGGAAGTGCAATACATCTGGCTTTCTTCTTGAAAAAGGATTTGTGATCTGAGTTGACGGTGAAAACAGTTCAATACCAGGTCATGTAAGATGATGATAGAAAGCTCTGTGAGTACAAAACCACAAAAGGACATCCACGATTTGCTCTACTAGTAAAGAAAGTGGGGAATGAGATAGGATGAATTTCTGTAGGAGTTTTGCACAGTAGCCACTGCTCCCATGGTCACCAACATTTCCAGGTTCCGAATGCCCCTTGCTGGGTGCTGAGCATTTTTCAGTCTTGTGGTGACAGGGCTCCATCTTTTCGTTCCTGACCTTTTTTCCAGTGACTGCTGAAGTGTGACTCCATCAAGTAGTCTTGCTTGACCCGTTTGATGCTGGCTTGTCAAGTCAGTAATGCCTTGCTATATTGTTGTCTTGCTGGATGAGGCAACTTAAATTGTGGTGAGGATTTGAGCTTTAAAATTAATTCTCAGGTGATAATTTAATTTCCATTTGACAGCAGCTTTCAGTGGTAGCAGCCCTTGGGTTTGGATTTGCTTGCCAAATACTTAGTCCCACAGTGGGATACTAGACAGAGGTTTCAAAAGCAGAGACTAATGCTCTCTCTGAAGCATGCCCCAGGTTTTCAAGAGGTGCTGTAGGCTCAGGAAAGCAGAACCAGAGTAGCGAGTACCCAGGGTGAGCCAAGGGTGCAGTAATTCAGCTGACTTTCAATTCCTACATCCTTGTATATGGCACAGGTTTATTCAGACCTTGCTTGGTCTTACTTGTATGTTTTTGGACTCTGGGTTTTGGGGTTTTTTTACAGGACATTCTAGTGTAGGTGGATTGATTTTTATATATTCTCTCTCTCTCTTTCTCTCACAAATAATAATTACTTTTGACTTGGCATGTTGTAGTTGGTAAATGACCTCCCAAGCAATCTAGGACTCTTCTCATAGCATATACCTTGGAACACCTTTCAGTTGCACTGAGTCAGTTCTTCAGTACTTATTTTTGTATGTGTCTCCTCTCTGTTTGCCTTCTTGCTCTGAGGAGGCTCATGAGGAAGGTAGGCTTGGATGAATCCTGTGTCTGTAATAGAGCTTTTCTGTGTTGTCTTTCTGAAATATGGTGAATATATGTCTTTACAGGGTAGACTGCATTCTTGCCTGCCTATGTAAACAAACACTTAATACTAGACTGAACCTTCCCCAAAACTAGAGAAATAATTGATTTTAAAGCTGTAATTAGTCACTCTTGCAAGTACTAGAAAGGGTTAGAAAATAGTATTTCCTCATTTCATTGATGTATTATTGAATTCATGTCAAAAATGAATAAAAAAAGGGAACTGTATTGCAGTGACCTTTATGGAGATGTTTAGACATTCATAAATTAAGGTTGCTTACTGAGAGACAGAAAGACTGGCTGTTTTGGGAGGGTGGTTTGGACCCCAGTCATATTTTTAGCAGAGATATAAGGTCAGGAAAAAGTGTTCATAATAGAAAAGCTGACACAGCTTTATCCCTAGTGTTGGAACTGGTGGTACTGCATCAGCGCTGCTGCTGTGTCCTCAGTGTGTGCACGGGTTGAGGAGACAGGATGATGGGGCTTGCAGACACCGAGTGCTTCTCTGAGAGGAAAAGCAAGAGACCTAGGAGCTGAGGCTGGCATATCTTGTAATGTCTCCATAAAATTTATGTAGAAAGGTAGGGATAATGAAGAAGAAGGAAAAAAGAAAAAAGCTCTAGAGTTCTGCCAAAGTCATAACAAAAGGTTGCATTTTTTTCCTTACACAAATCAAGACATGTAAAAAATAATATATTGCAGTAGCAAACCTAGCAGCTTGCTGAAATAAGGATTTGAGGCCTCCAGTTGCTGTCTCTCAGCTTTTGCCACTTTCCAGGATTTTTTTGCCTCTGGCTTCTCTTCACTCTGTGATCTGCTATACCCCCAGCCTGCAAGCAGCCATCCTGCCTTCCTCCTCCTCGCCATGTGCCATCGTGCTGAGGATGAACAGAAACTGTGCTCCTGGCTTTATCATTGTAGGTGTCTGCACCCCTCCTCGCATCCCAGGACTGCCAGCCAGCCCAGGGGCAGGTCATAGTGAGAAGAGGAAGAGAGCAGTTCTGGGCAGCGAGGAAGTGAGAAGAGAAAGGATCAAGAACAGAACAGCATGCAGGATGGGAAAGGTTTAAAACGCAATAGGAAAGTAAGATTTTAATCTCAAGAAGTTTGACTGCTATACAGTTCTGCTGAGCTGTTCTTGTGTAACACCCTATGATGATCACTCAGTTGTTAAATTATATGGGAGTCTAGCGGTCCCTACTCCTCTTCTGGGTCCCCAGCTTTTTCATCTGAGTTGTCTTACAGGCCTTACCCCTTCAAGGTTGTCTTCATACAATCGGCTATGGTGTGAGTTTCCCCGTTGCTGTTTTCAAAGATTTAATTTTTTTTTTTTTCTTGTAGCTATACCAAAGGTAGGGAAAAAAAAAGTAAAATACCCGAGAAAACTGAATTGTGCTAAACAAGAAACTGCAGTACATTTTTTTTCTTTTTCCCCTTTCCAATGGAAGTAGTTTGTTAAGAACAATTAGTCTTATATTTCTCTTTTGTTGTTATTTTTTTTTAAAGCAGATTACTAAGGAGCGACAGTTTAAACGTACAGGAGGTGGCTAAAGTAAGAGGTTCTTACCCGCTTTGGTTGGATATCCCTCACTGGAACACTGTGTTTTAATTCTGGTGAGAGGGAAGCATCAGAAGAACAGTTTTAATGGTGCCAGGTCTTAGAATTGGGATGTTGGGGGAGCTAGAGGCAGATTGATGTGCTTTGCTTTCTGATTGTACGCCAAGGGCTCCCCAAGCAGAGAGGCAGAAACTACAGCTGGTGCTTATTATTTCTGAGGCCAGACCTGCTGTCAGCTCTTTCCTAGGGAGTCTGCTGTAGCCTTCCCTGAAATAATCTCACTTGAGGCCAATTTTGTGATAGGAGCTGGAGGGACAGGGAGGGAGCTGGTAATATAAGAGCATAGTGGTAATCACAGTCTTAACTCATTGATGTTTAAAAACAGTAGTCATCCTCCTGTGGCTGTGATGTTTACTAGTAAAACCAAGCCTAATTCTGCTGCTACTTAAGCCAAAGGCAATATACTTTGGGAAACAGATTCTGATCTGAGATGAAACAGTGTAAATCTGGAGTAATTCCATTCCTGCCAGAGTTGGAGTTTCTGAGTGTAACTGAGCAAAACTGAAAAATTCTGTTCTATTTAGAACTAGCATGTAGGGGAAGGGTAAACGTGTTAGTATAGTTACTGAGTTTCTTGCAACTGTATTCAGTATAACATGTAACATGGATGATCAGTTTAACAATAAAAACAATTTCCTTTTTCAACTGTCTGGAACAATTATGTGTGTATGAAAATAAACTGATTTGCTATATACTGTAAATCTGTTTGGCTTAGAAAAAGAATAGTATCTTTTTTAAACAAACAGGGGTTCTTAATTAGGTAATCTGAACTTTGCTGTGCGGGCATCACAAAAAGAAATGTGACACTAGTGGCTATTAAGCTCTTGTTTGCTTGCAATAGGTATAATGACCATTGGGGCATCTTTAGGGACTGAGGTGTGAAAAACATGTCGATTGTGTTTCTGCTGCACATTCAAGAGTGCCTGTGTAGATGGGATTGAACACCAATGTCAGCTTTTGGGAGAAGTTACAAAATGCAAAATGGCCTTGTATGGTTTTACGGAATGTTAAATTTCTACTTTGAATAATCATGAGGAGCTTCATGTTAGAGCAATGGAAATTTTAATCCTCATGGGATCCGCTTGTAAATGAGAACAGAAGGAATACATGTGATAACTGCATGATCTGAATTTACTTGTAACTGTCAAGAATTACAGAATCTTTTTTTTTTTTTAAATCCTGTTATATTTGCACTAAAATGGGGAATTAGAGTAGCATGTTTCTAACATGTAAAGATGAAATTATATTTTCCATAGTATAATTTTTGGTAGCTAAGGTCAGATTTTTTTTCTTTCTTTTTTGACTGATAATTTCAAAGTTTTAGTTTCAGATGGATGCGTGTGTAAAATGACTGGAGTGGAAGTTGTACAGCTCTTCAGAAAAAGCAAATTCTCTTCTCAGTGCTCAAATACCTCTTGCTCATTAATCTACTACACTTTATTGAATCATCCTTTAGATTCTACTTTTTTTCCTACATTTTCTGTTCAAGTATTTTTCCATATTTCTTTGCATACTTCAAAATTCTTTAAGGAAGCAGCATGACCTTCTTAGTTACATTTTTGTTTTGCAAATTGGCAGCTACCTTGACACTTAAGTTTGCATGTAGGGGACGAGAATCTCCTATTTTTGGTGGGGGAGCTACAGAGCAATTCAGTTGTGAGGGAACAGGGTGACAGGAGGGCTCACCTGCTGTTCTGGGATGTGGTACTGGGGGTGTTGCT